ACTCGGTTCTGTGCGAATGCCCCTCAGCATCAAGACAGAAGGAGCTGGATAAATGTACTGCTAAAAATAGTCCCGGCAGGCAGCGAAAGCTTGGCTGATCTTGCTGGGCGGTGGATGCACGCAGCAGACTTTTGGCTCCAAACCAGGGACGTGAATTTTTCTAACGCATTTCGGGCTGCCATCACGTTTGGCTGAGACCGTGTGCCCAGGAGGAAACCGCAAAGATAACAAAGAGACTCCTGCCTGAAACCCAAACTGCTGCTTCTGAATAGCCTAAAGCAGCTTCCTATATAAGCCAGCCCTTCTTTAGAACCATGAGGACCAGAAACTTTATCTGCAAGGAGTGTAGCTCCATGGTACATCTGCTTAAGGCAGCTTTTCTTTAAAACCAGAAGAATTGGAATCCTAACCTTATTTGTAGGCGGAAGCAAGGTACTGAGCGGGAGAGCACCCACTGAACCCAGCCCTTCTTTAGAGTCATGAGGACTGGAATCTTAACTTTATTTGCAGGGCAACGGTTATAGCTCAGGGGTAGAAGGTGATAGTGGAAAGGTGACAGGAAAGGCCCCAACCGTGTCTCTCTCCTCCAGGCCCTATCAAGACCCATGGTGGGCATGTCGTGAGCGGAGGCGGCTGGAGCCGGGGGTCAGACTAGATGGCCTGGGAGACCCCTTTCTATGTTTCTACCCCAGGAGGGGCCCTGCCAGTCCTGTCTCAGCCACCCATAGCTGCTTCCCCCCTACCCCAGCCTCCACTTCATACTACAGCTTTCCCCACCCTGGTGGCCAGCACTCAGTTTCGACTACAAACCCCATCATCTCCACCAGGCACAGCCACTCCTCTGGCCTCGCTTTCTTCGCAAGGGGAGGGCATCTCTCTCTCAGCCTCAGCTGAACAACAGGCACAGACCTTTCACAGCAGGAAAAAAGCTGCACTAAAGTCATTTCTGTGGCAAACCCACTTGAAGGCTTTTAAAAAACAACACCATCTTGCAAAATCCAACTCGGCTTGTTTGCTTAACCTTGTGCAGGATAAAAATTAAATGCCGGAGCAGAACAAATGGCAGCGGAGGGGGTGGAAGGACTCCAAGCTGCCCCACACCGGCCGCTCCTAAAAAACATTGTTCCCTAATTGACTTCTTCCAGGTTGTTTATCTCCCACAGCAGCTCCGGGTGAAAAATCACCTGGCCAGACTCAAAGAGCAACCGCCAGCTCATTTCTGCACACCCAGCTCCCTGCCTGAGAGGCACAGCAGCAGAGCCAGGAGGAGAAAGTTGGCAAGCCTCTGCCCACCCCTGCTCGATTTACCATTTAAGCCTAAACCCCACAATGCGTTCAGTCAGTCGGGGGCACCGTGCGTCTTGCAGCCCTCGGCCTTTCTCCTCCTCCTCAACCTGCTGTGGCTGCTGGGCACTGAAGTCAAGCCACACTCGGGAGTGCCGCACGCGCCCATTTCCCTGCTCGCTTAGAGGCATGTCAAGGACCAGTTTGGGGCACTTGAGGTCCGCCCTGCCTGTCCGGACGGTGGAACGGAGCCTTGCTCAGTTCGTTCCGCCAAATTGCTTCACACAAAGCGACAGCCAACCGCTTCCTGGTGCCTTCTCAGCGTTTTCTTCTCCCGACCTGCCCCGGCTTTTGCTTTTGAGTAAACTGGATGGGATGCAGGCGGACAAGGTCACGCTAAAAAGCCACGCTAAAAAGCCAACTCTGCTTGCGCAAACACACTGCATGGTGCGCATGGAAACTTTTGTTCAGGCAAGGGAGGAGACTGCGATACGCGTGTGGGGCTGCCCCACAGAATTTGCATGTGCACAAGCAAGCGGCGGCAGCTGCGGGGAACGCCTGGGCCACTGTCCCTTCGGTTAGCCACCGTTTGCGCGTTGGGACTTTTCCTACCCTTTTGAGCATTACAAATCGCACCAGCCCCGGGCCTTCACAGGCACCGAGGCCCTGTGGCTTTCGTGGCTGGTGACTCAGAGCCCTATGCGGGTGTGGGGCAGGGCTGTGGACTTCGGGGGGGGGGCAAACCTGCCCCCCAGCTTTTCCCAGAAGGCAGGGGCCCCTTCCCCCTGCACACCAATCGTTTGGCGGTTTCCTGAGGTCTCCGCTCCTGAGATGCCGTCAATCCAGCTAAAGCCACACGAAACAATCACTATATTGTCTCCATCCCATTCGTCACCGTTTTTCAGCCAAGACCTCTCTTTTCTTCCCACACTTCTTTCCCCAATTATGTGCCCGTGCACAGTCAGCAACAGCCACCTCTATTTTTCATTTCTCATTATATGGCCAACGTATGTTGGTCTTCTGTCCTTTAGAATTCCTTGCCCTTTATCCAGACTGAGCATCTCTTCAGATTTTGCAACCAGCGATGTGTTTTCAACTCAAATGCGCTGCAGATGTTTGCAGTTTTGGTCCCATCTGCCACGAAACACATCCCCGAGAGCGCCTCCGAAGGAGAATGGGCCCTCCGATTAAAAGAGGCTCTCCATAACTCTTCAGAAACCTTTGATGGCCAATTTGTCAACCCTTTGGGTTTCTCAGTTTTTCAACATGAAGTTCATTTTGGCACCGAGACCTTTGGCTGTGGGGTGGCATGAAAATTAGTAATAATCAAAAACAAATTCTGCAGGTTTTTCCTCCAGTCTATCACACTTTCCCAAAGAGTTGCACTTTGCGTGTTCTGTCCCCTCATGGATAAAGTTTCCCCCCTTGGATAAAGTTTTTAGTAGGTTTATTTGGGATTTGAGAACTAAAATGCAGAAAAGTGAAAAGAACACTGACGTTCTACTTTACGTGCCGGTTTTGGATGTTACTCGGCCCTGGAAAGCGAACCCAAAGGATTTCTTTCAGATCCGTGCTACCAACGCTTGTTTGATGGCCTTTGGGGGCCAGCGGCTACTAGCCACAGGTACTTGCTTAATGGCCACAGATGGCTTCAGACTGCAAGTTACTGTACATAGCAACAAGGTGGGTTAAGGTTAAAATGTTCTGCCAGCGTGTTCCACATGGCCAGAAAAGTGTCGCAACACAACCGCTGAAACAGACGAGAGCTCTTGAGTTTGTGCCTATGGCTGGGGAAGGCATGCGGCTAAAGTTTCCTGTGGAAAATGTGACCCGACGTTACAGACGAGTACTGTTCGTCGACCTGCTTCCCCCATCCAATTCATATATTTGAAAATAATCCAGTTTTTTGCAAAGCGAAGGCGCCAAGTCTCTCGAGAATAAGCCTGTGAAGAGCTGCCCCTGAGAAACTCTGTGTGGCCCTGGAAGTGTGTAAAGCTCCCAACTTTACAATGCTCTGGGTGTATCAGATTAAAAGGTATTCCCAGGAATAAATTAAAAATCTGGCCATCCTTTTATGCTGTGCAGGTACATGATGCAACACCGCCCTCTGCTGGTACATTGGAGCAAAAATCTGCAAAGACCGATCCCCCACGCTTAGATTCATCCTACAAACTAACACCATCTTGCATTATTTGATGGGCTTAACCCTCATTTTTAAAAACACTATCTTAAGACAATTATTAGCCACTGCCTTAGCCCAAGCCAGGACACTGGCTCTCTGGCCCAGATGGTCCACGCCTCAGCATCCAAGCTCATCTACACCCACCTGGACTTTTTTCGCAGACCGTTTTCACCTGCTGCTGCGAATTTTCCATCCGTGCCTTGCCTATGTTGGCTGGCAGAATATCTCCAGGGTTTCAAGCAGGGATTTCTCCTTGCCCTACCTGGAGATGCAAAAGATCAAATTTCAGCATGCAAAGAGTGTTCTGCCACCCGGCCGTGGCCCGCACCCAAGAATGGTATGCCAGGACGGCCATATCTGTCCCACCGAGCTCCATCCATCAGATCACACTTTGGGGGAACAAGCAAAAGCACAGCTGTAAGGAGAGCTGAAGCTCTGCTTACAGAAGAAATGGGAACTCGCAGAAATGTGGAGGGATCTGTCAGACATGTGGTCTTTTGGAGCAGAAACATCCAAGGACTGGGGAGAAGGGAAAATATATTATTTTTTCAACTGTTGTGCGGGAGAGGAGTCAGCTTCATCATTCATTTAATGGGCTTCACAGCAGCCTGAAAGGAAGTAGGTGTTATCTACACTACAAAATTTAAACCTGCTCAGAAACAGTTTGACGGCCACAATTCTGCCCCTCCGAGCCCCCCACCTCCCCTTCCCGCGCCCTTGCAACAGTGCCCCTCATCTATCACTCTTTTAATCCCTCCTCAGTGGCTCCAACCCCCCTCCCGACACTCAACAAGCCCAGATCAGAAACATATTCCGGCTAGGTGTGGCCGGAGGACAGATCCAGAGGGGAGAGAATCCAGGGGGAAAGTTTTACAGGAAAGCAAATCAAAAGGAGATTGTTGGGAGAAGTGTGGCAGCTGCCAACTGCCCGGGTTCAAGGGAGGGAGAAATGGGAGGGGGCCAAGGTGTGGCTTTTAAAAAGGGCAACACAGGGGGTGAGCTGTTTCAAAAAAACCCTTCTAATTCACCCATGCACAAGAAAAATGTCCGTCCAGCCTTCACGTTGGCGTTTCCTGCCCCACGGGTACATGACACACACGATTCCCTTCATCTTGGGGGGCATCTCCCCACGGCAGAAAAGAAGAGATTGTCCCGTTACCCTCCCAAGGCACAAGGACAGGAGCGGGGGGGGGGGGGGGGGGGGGGGGGGGGAAGAAACAAGGGCCCCATGGCAGAGGAAGGTGCCCTCACCCCCCACATGGGCAGGGGGGCTGCGGGTGCCCCACTGCCCCCGGCACTCCCCCCCCCGGTTGATGGCAACATTCAACAAGGCGGGGCCTCGCTAGGCGGGTGGTTGCGGCCCCCTGCTCAGAAGTCTCTTTCTGCTGGAAGTTCCGTCAGGCCACCTGCTGGAGCATCGCTTGGAGTGCCTCGGCTTCCCCTAATCCGGCTCGCGGCCTCCTCAAAGCCACGCATGGTGCTCCGTGGGGCAGGCGGGAGGAGATCCGTGCCCGGCCTGGTTCGCCCTTCCGGCCTGGGACGCGGGGCGGCTTGTGCCGAGCGCCCGCCAGGACTCCCAACAGGTACCCAGGGCCCCGGCGGGGCGAGCTCAGTCCAGCTTGGAGAAGCCCCCGATGGTGACCTTGCGCTCCTGCCGGTTGGCCACCAGCTCCTGGAGGTGCAGAGCGCCGCCGCCGATGAAGCAGAAGGCCGGGCACACGGGCCCCGAGCAGTCGATGCCGCACTCCCAGAGGCTGCGGAAGGAGACGGCATCGAAGAAGGCCACCTTGCCGCGCTCGTAGTCCAGGCAGATGCCCACCCGGGGGGGGCAGCGGCACCGTGCAGTTGCCGGGGTCCCGCGAGGTCAGCGCCACGCCGTGCGAGAGCAGGATCTTGCCCATGCCGATGGTCAGGAAGGCGAAGGGGGGCGACACGTCCACGGTGGTGTCTTCGGCGCCGCTGTCGTGCCCGCTGTCGGGGTCGTACCTGTGCCGAGGAACAGTGAGGGGAGTGGGGCAGAGGGGTTATCCCCCAGACAGAGGGGGAGACGCAGGCATGCAGTGGGGCGATAGTGGGGGGGTCACGTCCCCCGCCCGCCCTCCCTCCCTCGCGGGGTTTGCTTCCATGGGATGGCTCCATTGCATTCCTCGGAGGCCGCAACTCGGTGACGGCAAAAGGGGCGAGAGGCTGAAATGGCTTGCGTAGTTGAGGCTAAAACGCTTCCTGCCAAAAGCCAAGCCTTGGCCGGGGAGGGGGGGCGGATTTCAGCCTTTTAGGAAAAGGGAGGACGCTATTAAAAAGCCAGGGACACCCCAAACAATTGGGGGTTGGAAAGAGGGCTTGGGGCTGGGCGGAATGTGGCCCTTGGCCCAGGGATTCCACCCCCCTGGTCTATTCCAGGGCTTCCCCACCTTGGTGCCCTCTGTGTGGGGCACGGCAAGCCCCATCACCCTCAGCCAGCGTGGCCCTTCCTGGGAGGTGTAGGACAACCCTATAAAAGGCACCGTGTTGTCGAGAGCTGGTCAGCTTTGGCAATAGTCCCAAGGCCTCAAGCCACGCGGGGTCTTTCCCAACCCAGGAGCGAAAGTCTATTTAAGCAGAAGGACCGACGCTGGAAGTGGGCGCAAATCGGCCACTTCCACAGCTTGGGTTCACCTCCTGCTTTCTTGAGCCGCACAAAACACCTCTCCTGCACGGGTGGGAAACCTTTAAAAGCAATAGTCCTGTCTCCCCTGAACTTTCTCCCCACTGACTAAAAGACTGCCGGCCCTTTCCATCATCCCTCACAGGATCGGTGGTGTTGTGGGACCAGGGCTACGGGGTATGATTGCATGATTCGTGGGGTCACCAGTGCCACCCCAGCCTTCCCTCTGAGCTCCCCTGTCCTAAACACAAGAGGGCAGCTCAGTTCAAGGGGGCAAGAAAACTCCGCTGGTCTTGCAATGCTGGTCGAAATAAAAGCTGCAAGGACTGCAAATTTGGATTTGTCTCCATCGAGCCAAATGTAGCACTGAGCCCTGCGTGAGGTTTTGTTTCCAGGACCAGCACCACCCGCCGCCCCCGCGACTCCTCCACTGCCCCCCCACCAGACGCACACCAAATTATCAGCCCTTCCTAGAACTGTTGCTCCCCGAACCGGACAGCTTGGGTCCAGGATACCTGAAGGAGCGCCTCCTTCCCCATGTGCCCCCTGCCCCTTGAGATCTGAGGCGGAGGCCCCACTCCGGGAGCCCTCCTTGAAGGAGATTAGGAGGGAGAGTACCCGGAGCAGGGCCTTCTCTGCGGTGGCTCCCCGACTCTGGCATACGCTCCCCAGAGAACTTCGTCTGGCGCCAACATTATATTCTTTTCAGCATCAGGCAAAACTCTTTTTATTTTCCCATTATTTTAATGTTCAATTGATTTTGACTGGGGTTTTAGTATATATTAACGGTTGGATGCTGTAGGGTTCGTTTTATTCTACTTATTTATTGTAAGCCGTCCTGAGATCTTTGCAGGGGACGGGACAGAAAAGCTCTTAATAAATAAATAAATAAACCGGACGTGGGTGGATGCGGCCAGCTCTTGCCCTGCCCTGCGGCCCCCTCCGACCGCTTCGCCTCACGGCAGCTCACCTGGGGCTCACCACGTCCTGCGGCACCTGGAACCACTCCTGCAGCTTGCTCTCCAGCCCCACGCCCACCTTGACCAGATAGGAGCTGGGATCCACGCAGCAGGCCCAGTAGCTGCGGCCCTGGGTGACGGCCACATCCCCGATCACCAGGTCGATGGACAGGTGGCAGCCGGTCATGAGGCGCTCGGCGGCGAAGAGCATGGGCAACCCCGGCACGCTGCGGACGGCCCGCTGGTCCTTGCTGATCGCCAGGCGCTCCCGGTTGAAGCCCCACCGGTTGTCCAGAAAGAAGTTCAGCACTGCGCAGACGCGGGCGAGAGAGAAGAGCACGGACTCAGCGGAGCCCAACCCGAGCGCCGAGCCCGCTCGCACAGGCCGGGACGGCGGCCTCATTGGGCCGCGAGGGGCCCTCTTGGCTCTCCGCAAGCTGAACTCACTAGAGAGGCAACACCGGGGCCGGAGCACAAGACGGCACACCTGTGAGCAGCGTCTTACCTGGAGCCGGCGGCGTGTGCAGGTAGATGTCTTCGCTGTAGTCCCCAAAGCCGGCCTTGTTGCATCCGCGGACGCGCAGCACGTAGACGCAGTCCGTGTCCAGGTACTCCACCACGGCGCTGGTCCCACGGACCTCCTCTCGCCGCTGCCAGAGCTTCAGGGCCTTGCCCTTGGGCTCGGCCCGCCGGAACTCCACCGTGTAGTGCCAGGCCGGCGGCGAGTGCTGCGGGAGGCGCCAGCAGAGGAAGATCTGGTCGTAGGCGTAGGTGCGCTGCGTGTCGATCACGGGGGCTTCCGGGGCTGCAGCGGGAGAGGGGTGCGGAGAGAAGAGGGGAAGGTGTGGGGTCAGACGGGGCCGGGCGCGAGTGCTCGGCGCTCCGGGCGGACCGGCAGACAACCAGCGACAGGCTAAGGGTTCCAGAAGGCAAAGAATAAATGGCGCACGGGCCCAGGCGGAAGGGGAAGAGGAGGGGAGACGGGGCAAGCTGCTGAGAGACTCCAGGGGCGAGAGAGAGGCTGAGTGCGAGTTGGGAAGAGGGAGGGAGGGGAGGGGAGGGGAGGGGAGGGCAGAGAGGAAGGAGGATGGTTGTGGGAGCAAAGGAGGGATGGGGGCGAGGCGGAGGAGACAGACTATGGCAGCAAGAGGGGAAGAGTCGTGGCGACGGTGTCAGTCTGGAGGTGCCGAGGCTCAGCGTGATGGTCCTTGCAGCCGGCGCCCGCTAGGAGCATCCTCCAGGGCAGCCTGTATCCCTCACAGCCGCCCGGTCCTGGCTGTTCTCTCTACCAGCAGGTTAACCGCACGTTTATGACCAGGCCTCCCCGACATGATTTGCAAGCAGGACTAGTGGACTATCGGGGAAATTTAGCTTCGTTTAGAAGGGACAAGGGATCCCGAGGGGGTGGCAGATGTCCGAGCCTTCCATCCCTGCGATCCTGAGCTCCGCTACAGCACTGCAAAGTTTGCAATTTGGAAATTCTGAGGTGCCCTTTAGCCGGAGATAGAAGGGCAACCTGCACAATAAAAGCAAAAGCACAAACACCGATGGTGTCCCCAGCATTTCAAAAGTGTTGGAGCTGATGCTCCCAAAGGGGAGCGGCGCTGAATGACAAGGGAAAGCGCCACCAGCCCTTGAAGCATGGGAACTGGCAGGGCCTTCCAGATGATGTAGCAGTATTGTGTAGTGGTTAGAGCATTGGACTGGGGCTTGGGAGATCTGGGTTCTAGTCATGCAGCTCCACTGGGCGCCTTTGGGCCAGTCACAGTGGCTTAACTTAGCCTACCTTGCTGGGTTGTTGTGAGGATAAAATAGAGAGGAGGAGGAAACAGGCCACATAGTGGCTTCGAGCTCCTTATATGAATAAATGCAGAATATAGACGCAGGTTGGGCATGATAGACATCGGAGTCCAACACACCTGGATGGCACTGGCTTGGGGAAGATTAGGGTGAGGGACTCGGCCAAGGGTGCACGTTTTCGGCACAGAGGATCCAGGAGAGCTGTACCCATTACTGGACACTGTCTCCTTTCTGGCATGTGAGTCCCGAAGAGAGCCCGCCTGCATCATGCTCAGTCCTGGGGGAATCACCTCATCCCACGTCCTCCAGATACGGTGGAGGATTTAGCAGGAGGCTTCACATTTGTGGGTCAAGCAAACATTGTACAAGAGATGGTTTTTTCCCCATTGGCCCATTTGCCACATTGGCACGGGAGGAAGCTGCAGTCAGACCCTCCGTTGCACCGGGATGCAGTTAAAAGCCTTCCAGCAATGGGAACCGGTGAGGATGTCAGAGAGAGAACTGGGCAGCCCTTCCTCTGTGCCCATGACCTGCTGGACTTCCCCTGCATTTGCTTTTTGTTCCTCTACCCTCCCCATCCCCTCTCCTTTCATGTCGTGTCTTTCGGATTGCAAGCTTGCAGGCATGGACTTACTCCTTATCTCCAAAAGCAGCTGGAGCAGCATTTTTAAGCAAAAGGGTAGGGTAAACATGTTAGAAATATATGGCCTTTTTTGATCTGGTAAACAGCAGTTCATGTGTATTTTTCTTCCTTACTTTCTTACGTGCACACACACACACACACACACACGTCTATCTCCACATCTGCTCCACGATTTACAGAATTTTAGCTTCCATAAACAGCTACTATCAACCCTGCCATGAGAACCGGGAATAAAGAAATAAAGCCAAACTCATTTTGCACTGAGACAGATGGGTAAACTTGCAGTGCCTTTTTAGAAGAAGCTGCTTTGCTGTCTCTTTCCCTCTGCCTCTAAATTTGCAATTATTTTAAAGGCTGCATGGACCTTCCCTTACCCCGATCTAAGCCAGCCTTCTAGGAATTAACGAAAGAGGGGAAAAACCTCTCCCTGCTTTCTTTTGCACATGCCTCACGCATGAATCCCTGCTGCAATGCACTTTCCGGACATGACTTTGCAGTCACGACTCCCAGAGAGCGAGAGATTTCACGGGCTGCTAAACTGCCTCCGTGTGCTTCCCCGAGAAGTACAGACTGTCTTTCTCCCTCTCGTTCTGATATATAAATAACTCAGGCTGCGTTGGCTTCTATATTACGCCTGGCTCTGCTTCCTCCGGAGATACACCTAAACTAGGCATGTCGACTGGAGGAGTTCTCCGGCCCACGTGGGGTTCCCATCTGGCCATGAGGGGCCCGCAGCCCCCTTTTCCCCACAGCCGCTGATCATCTGGTCGCCTCCTGGCCTGGACCAGCCATTCCCCTCCCGCAGATCCCATTTGGAGAGGCTGCGATCCCTACAGAGTTGTCAGGGGCGAGAAGTTGAAGCTAAAAAGGCAGGGCCTCCGGGCCCGCCCCTTTGCCTTTGGCCCCGCCCACACCTGCAATGTGGCCCCCGACGGGATGGCCCCCGGGCCCTCAAGAGGAAAGAGGTCCCCCGCCCCAGCTGAAACATGTCTCTTGTAGGGATGCTAAGAGAGTCCGGCTAGAAAGTGCAGGTGTTTACTGCCTGCTGGGCTCCACCCCCTTCATCTCTGGCCCCGCCCCTTTGCCTTCAGGCCCCACCCACCACCAAAGCCATGGGATCCCCTTCTGAACTGAATTTGATGCTTGGGCTGAAACAGGTGGGGCACTTTCTTTAAACCAATCAGACAATTGCCCTTTCCATGGCATTCAGGGGTTTTGGGGAGAAAGCCGGAGAAAGGCAGTGGCAGGAGGTGGGGGCTGGGGAGAAGGAAAGGGGGCGAAGGGCAAAGCACGGAGGGCCTCTGGAAGCCTCTCTCCACTCCCCCACATGGCCTCACAAGCCCTCAAGGGAGGGCGAAACATGATTTTATTTCTTGCCGCCAAGAGGACTAGAAACCTTGCAAGCCCTACATCAGGACGCCATGCTATGCAGGGGGACCCAAGGTGAACAGAATGAGAGAAAGGCAAGGTCCTTCTCTGTATCCACACTGTCTCTCAGATGTTTGGCCTGGCTGTAATACCCAAAGCACGCGAGGAGATCTCACTGCAATTCCCATCATCCCCCAGCCAGCATAGCCCATGGCCAGGGCGAAGGCGAGCTGCAATTTCAAAAGCAAGGAATCAAAACACAGAACCGAGGCCTGAAGCCCATGCAAAACACAGCACAGTTGCGCTTCCGCACCAGTGGGTCAGGTATTTTTCACAACCTAGCACAGATTAGTTGTGGTTTCAAGCTGAAAGTGTGCGAAGGACCTTGAGACCTGCTTGCTCCTGGCAGTGCCGCAGGAACCATGAGAGGCAGGCACCGTTCCGGAAAAATTGCTTTTTTACCCGTTTCTGGAGCGTGCCAGGTGGGACCCCTGAAAGCCAGAAGTTCCATATCCAAGCCCAAATTTTAAATAAGAAGCACGGAGCGGGTGAGTACGGGCAAAGAGTGCAGGATGAAAGTGTTAGGATGGGCACGGGAGCAAAACGAGAGGGGCAGGAAGAGGGGGTGCAGGTCGGGGGGGTCGGCTGGGTGAGGGATGACTTGCCTCATTTTACTTCCATGATGAATCAACAGCAGCCAAACCCTACAAACAAAGAAAGGTAAAAGCAGATGGGTCAAGAGCCAGGCTCGGAGCGGTCGTGGGCCTCTGAGCGAGGGGTGGTGCTGGGGAGGCGCTGTGCCTGGAGTGTCAGGTTGGCTGTGGATCATGGGATGCAGGAGGCGCCGTGACGGGGGAGAGATGGAACTGACCGGGACACAGTCTCCCGGGGGTGGCGGCTGCGAGGTGAACGGGTGATGCGAAGCAGGACACCCGCCTGCCCAGTGCCCCGGCCTGGGAAGCGGGTGCTTGCAGGTGAGTCTGCGTGTGGAACGGGATGGGTGGAAAGGGGTGGAAGAAACCGCCCCGGCCTGCTCCGGCTGCACTCACCTGGACGCCCCACCGTCTGTCTTCGGCAGGTCACGTCACACACACACCACGTACCTTGGGGGGCTGCCGAGCTCCCCTCTTCCCAGAGGGCTCCGCGGCTTGGAATTCTGTGGGGAGGGCCAGCCCACGCCCCCATCCGGGAGGAGGCAGCTTACCCCGCTACCATTAAAACGAGCCCCGACGCCTTGGGGTGCCGGTTCCGTGCGTGCCGTTCTCCAACCCAGGGCGACCGGATCGAACCGAACGGGACACGTTGGAGGCTGCCGAAGCTCCGCCTGGCCAGGCGCCCACCCCTCCGAGGCCCCGTCTGCTGCACCAAGCTCCCAGCGCGCCCCCCCCCCCGGCCCACGCGGCTTTCTCACGCACCTTTGATAAAGGTGAGGTCTGTCAGCAGTTTCAGCTCCCGGCTCACGTCCACCTGGAAGTGGCTGAAGGAGGCGCTGGCGGCCGGCTGGAAAGCTTGCAGCGAGTCGGTCGCCCTGACAATCCTGCCGGGGGACAGCGGAGGAAAGAGGCGATCAGATGGCAAGGGCAGAGCCCAGGGCAAAATCCCTTCCGAAGCAGCGCACGCTCACACTTACGAACATTATCTGATCGGTTACGTTTTCACGGGGACTCAAGAGCAAGGCGTTCCACAGCCACGAAAACTATGCAGGGCAGGTGGGTGTTTAGAAGACGGGTTCCTTCCCACCCATATCCCAGCCTTTCTCCAGCTGATGCCCTCTGGATGCACTCGACTACAAGTCCCATCAACCCTTTGTAACACACAACCCTTCGTAATAGCTTTTAACATCCCTGATTATCCGCATTTCCTTTCTTAATGTTTGGCGGCTCTTTTATACCCTCTTGTTATTCTAACATGCACCCTCTTGTTTCTTCAATTAAATGGAGGATGAAAAGCTTGCGTAATAAAGATTTAAAAAAAGAAGAAGAAGAAAAGAACGGGTATTCTTACTCTGGTCACCCTCTTTTAAGAAGCCCCCTGCAAAGCAAAGTTTTTGTATCTGGTGACTAGCAGCCTCCAGCCAGTAAAATGCTTTTCATCAAGTGAGCATCAGCTAAAACAAACGCTTCACAATGATTTGTCTAAGTATTGTTAAGTAAATGACAATCTAACCCTCCAGCTTATTATTCATGTACTGAGCAGATGTGTTCTTCACCTTCCTACCAAGAAAACTGGCACCTCAGTCAGTTCCAGTCACAATTAAAACATGAATAAAACACTACTAAGAAGTGGAAGGAAATAAATAATAAAACACACCCATGAAGACACCATTAAAAACACCAGTAGAACAAGGACGGCTTCCGACCCTACGGAAAGAAGACCTGCTTGAATAGAAGAGCCAAGGGAGTCCCACATGCACAAGAAAGCACTCACTTGCATCGACACAAAGCAAACCTCTGAAAATTATCTCAAAAGAAAGATTTCTCCAGGCCTGGGCAGGCTCGAATGCATATTTCCATGCTGATATCGGGCTCTACGGGAAGGAAGCAGTGGGGGGGGGGGGAAAGATGCCAAAAGCCCCAAGTGCCTAAGAAAGTTTTCTTACTGCCTTATGCGTTTCAGAAATGTCGGTTTCCTTCTTCGGGAGCTGACTGTCATCTATGTGTTAACTCTGGCCCTTGGGGCTCTGTTCACATTTTCTCTCCATCCCTTTTCCCTCCATGAGGGTGCCCCCCCGGCCCCCCTTGGATCACACATTTCTGTACAGCCCAGAAGGCAAAGTTAAGAACCATCTGCTGGTGCGACAGAGCATTAAGAGCCCTTTTCTATCAAATTTAGTCATTCATATCACTACTCACTATTCTTCCCTGCAAGGAACCCAAGGCGTCTTAGATCATCTCTAATCTCTATTTTCTACTCACAACAACCCTGCGAGGTAGGTTAGGCTGAGAGTCAGGGACTGGCCAAAGTCACCTGTGAGCTTCAGGGCTGAGTGGGGACCAGAACCCGGATCTCCGACACTCAAACCACAATGCCACGCTGGTTCCAATCCGGGACAAAAAAGTCCCAGCTGTCAAGTTCCCGACGTGCATAAGCCAAGCAAGACACCGCATTTGGGCTGCTTCAGAATTCCCAGGCCAGTTTGGCGACGCTACTGGGAGCACAAGCACCTGTTATGCAGCTGTTTGGCCGCCTGGACGAAGCAGGGCTGGTCCGTTTCTTTCAGGACCTCCTGGGTGTAGCCCACCATGCCGGAGTTCTCCATCATGGCCTGGTGCTCGTGCAGCTGCGAGCGCAGGTTGGAGACGCGGTCCTGCCGGCAGTCCTCGATGGCGTTCAGCAGGGACGACTGCTTCTCCTCCAGCAGGGCGCTCAGGCCGCGCATCAGCCGCCCGACCTCTTCCTTGGCCTGCGCGCCGTTCGCCTGCAGCGGGGCAGATCAGACACGGGGGGAACTGGTGCCTGTCTGCACCACGGCAGTTCCGGACTTGGAAGAGAAAAGGCGCCCCGAGTGCAAATCTGCGGCTTCGTCCAAAATTGTCTTCAGGCTGCCGCTAAGGGAAACGACTCCCGGACGCCAAATTTCGGCCTCCCTTGCGGACTGGCTTCAACTCCGCCAGAACCTGGGCAAAAAGATCAGTGCCCTTACCTCTGTAAGTCGGAGCGTCTCTTCCAGCTCGCTAATTTGGGCCTGCACCGTGTCTTGATGGTTCAGAATATAGGCCAGGCTTTTCGTCAGCTTCTCCTGCGAGCACAAGAACAGACAAATGAAGGAGGAGAGAAACGAAGGAGGGGATGAAAAGGCAGGAGAGCGAGCTCAGCCTGACTTCACGGGACTCCTGCTGTGAGGCTCCTTCCTTGCCCAGCTGCTTCCACTGCTGAGCCAGAGAATCGGGACCGACGCAGGCCAAACAAGCCAGAGCATCTCTTCCTCCGAGGGCCGCCTGGCCCCTTCTGGTGGGAGCACACCGCAAGCAGCCCCCTCCCCATGGGGTGACGCCTAAGCCTTTCCTGAGACTCCCAGGCTGCGCTGGCCCCGGGTTCCACAGTCCCTCTTCGGCATCGCCCTCCCCAAAACCACCCCATCGCATTTCAGTGCCTCGGGGGCCGATCCAGCACGTTGTGGGGGTCTTGCCTCTTGGAGCGCAGGGGCAAAAGAGGAAAAGCGAAGTGCCTCACCTTGAGCGCGTGGTAGGCGGCGAGCACCGGCGTGATCTTGTGGCCCATGTGAGTCCGGCGGACGCGGCACAGCTGGCACACCAGCCGCTGGCAGGACTTGCAGTAGTGGGAGACTTCTTCCCGGTGGTCAGGGCACGTCAGACCCTGCGCGGAGGGGAAAGGGGCCGTCACGGCGGGCGGGCGGGGGGGATCACCGTGGGAGAGCGGTGTCGCCCCGCCCGGGGGCCGGGGGAGGCCGTACCTTGGGCCGGAAGGTCAGCGTCGGCGGGGTGGGCTCGTGCTGCGCCTTCTGGGTGCCCCAGGGGTGGTACAGCTTGAAGCACTCGTTGCAGAAGCTGGACCTGCACTCGGTGCAGCCCTTGGTGGCCTCCAGCTGGGGCGGCTTGCAGAACTGGCACATGATGGCGGCGCTGACGTTGATGGTGTGCCGGTAGCGCTCCACCACCCGCTCCAGCGTCAGGTTCCGGAAGAGGCTGCCCAGGCCCCGGTCGCCCAGGTCCACATCCCGCTGGCACACGGGGCAGGGGAAGAGAACGGTCTGGGGGTGCGCAATGCCCCCGCGCTTCCGCCCGGGATACGTGCCAAAACCTGGAAGGAGGAGGTCATTGCGTGAGAGACACACTGGCACTCAGTGCCAGGGAGGGCGAGTAACCGTAATAGAGCCTCCATCCACAAGAGCAGTCTACCACTTAAGGATCCCTTTGAAATCTACAATTCTCTAATTCGAATACAGGCAGTGGGCAACCCAGGCACCCAATCCTTTGTTGCAGGGTATTTAAACAGCTGTCCGATGGCAATGGCATAGCTCCAAATTCCTGAATTACGAGGCAGGTTGGATTAGGTGAATTCCAAATCCCTGCTGGCCTGATCCAATGAGAAAAGTCTCATCTTTCTATCAACCTTGACAGCAAAACAGCACCTCCTCAGAGAAGAGTGATCCACCCTCGAACGCCAGACGGGCCAAAGGAAAACAGCCGCTGATTCCGCTCAGAAACGAAACACTGGTTGGATGAAGCTTCATCCCGGCTTTTGCAGCGGGTGCCAAACCTCTTTCTACCTAAGGGTCAAATCCAGCTTCTGAGAAGCTTACAGGAACTGAATTCCTGAGGCCGACTCAAAGTACCAAAATTCCTGGCATATTTTATCTGACCACCATAACTGAGGTGTTTCAGCCTTAAGAATGAGGGGGGAAAATGGCAAAAGCCGAGAGACTGCAGAACCATTGGCAACCGGTATGTAAGCCGTCCTGAGACGCGATAGCGACGGACGGCATACAAATGTTTTAAATAAATAAATAAAACAAACAAAACTGGGGAGAAGAAGCCGTTGCATCTGGGGAACCTTGGAGTGACCCCCTTGGCAGGGCGTGTGTGCAAAGTTGGACTCCCCACGTTCTCCTCCTATATTCTTTATTTACTTTTTTATACTGTTAATTTTAATTTTATATTATTGTATCTCAGTGTATTTTTTGTATTTTTGTATTTAGTGGTAATTTATTATGTTCTATTGTATTTCAATGTATCTTATTGTGTTGTAAGCCGCCCCGAGGCTTTGGCAAGGGGCAGCATAGAAATGTTATAACAACAACAACAACAACACAGTGCTCGTCTTTCGCTTTGTAAGCACCTTGGGGCAGGGATCTGTCCTCTTGTACTCGACGGCATTCCTTCCGCCCGGCGCAGAGACTTGCGGACGCACCGGAGGCCTCCAGCCACCCACCCACCCACCTGATTTGAGAAGCCGATCCAAGCGCTCCGGCTTGGGCAGGGCCCGGCGTCCCAGGCGGGGGCTCCGCGTGGCTGGTGTGGAGGCCGGCGAGGTGGGCTCGGAGGTGGGGTCCGGGCAGACGTAGCCCTGTTGCAGCAGGACCTCCGTGGCACAGATGTGGCACACATTGTGCAGGCACGGTAGCACCAGGGGCTGCTTGTACATTTCCTTGCACACCGGACACAACAACTCGCGCTCCATGTTCTTCATGCTGGTCTGGAAGGCCAGAAACGGGGCAGGAGGGAGAGGCAAGGCCAAAGAAATTTAAAAACAGTGCAATTAAAAACACTGCAATTATCCATGCCCACAATGCCCTGTGCTTGCCCTCGGCGGCCCCTTCTCCCAGAAGCTTCCTTCCCAGAGCAACGGTGCAAAGCCTTTTCTTACTCTCTCTTGCGTCAAATCCAAGGTTCCCACGTTTTGCACGGCGTATCGCAGCCCCTTGTGGCTTACTGAAAGCGACACTTAACGCAGCAGAAGTGCATTCTTCCCTTGCGTTTTTAAATTAATTCTTCACTCAACATTTTTAACTAAACGAAAACAAAGCCATAGAAACAAAAAGCAAAAATGTAACTATGTAAGTTTGTTATGCATAAAACAAACTTTTTGCAGACTTAGAAAGGAGAATGCAGAAGAGCTAACTAGAATTTCCTGTGGGCTGCTTTTAGAATATAACTTCAGTAAGACTTATATTCTAGAAGTTATAACAGCCTCTGAACGTATAGACACTTACATAAACTCTTTCCTGCCAGGAAGAAAACCAGGAAGAACTTGGAAAAGAAGAAATAGTTCCTGGGATTTGTTTTAGAACACAGAAACAGAGTGAGTCAGAAGGGACCTCCAAGGCCATCTAGTCTGACCTCCGGCACCAGCCGGCTCTGCTCACGACATGCCCATTTTGAGTTTCTTTCCTCTTCTGTCCCCAGCCCCTTTTCCTTTTGTACGTGCAAATAGTACTAAATTTGTAGGGGCAAGGAGATGTGTGAGCGTCCACAGTAAGCAGAGGTATGACTAAGGTTGGACCTTGGGGCCAGAGTCCCAGGCCTCCCAAATGACCAAGCAGAAGGAAAGGAGAATACCCAAAGCAAGGTCTGTTTTATTCTGGTGCCCCAAAATCACCATTATTACTACACTGCATTTTATCCTGCCTTTTTTCATCTTCCAAGTTATCCAAAGCAGCTCATCCCGTTCTTCTCTTCTCCATTTTATCCCCACAACAGCAACCCTGCGAGGTAGGTTAGGCTGAGCATCCGTGTCCAACCCCCAAGTCGCCCAGTGAGCCTCATGGCTGAGCAGGGAGCAGAACCCCCGTCTCGAAAGTCCCAGACTAGCCCTCTCAACCACAACAGCAAGCCGGCTCTCAGTGAGTTGAAAATTCCAACCTGCACATGCTCAGAGGTTGGGCAATTTTGTGATTGCTACTCTAACAGAACAGGAATGTATAAGCAGATGTAAAGCACGGAACAGAGATGGGAGGGACAAAATAGGTCAACTGTGCCTTTCATGATTGAATTAATTTATGTGACTCTCTAAGGGGGGGCCACACAAGGCCACGAAGCCTCAGGGCTAGGATTGGTTTATCTGCCCCACCGCTGAAAAGCAACCTTGGCTGAAGAGCAGAGTGGACACGCTTCACCTACAAATATGCGGGCATGGCCTTCCAGGCACGGAGATAAAAATCGGCATTTATTTATTTGAAGTTTAAGGTCTAGGGATGCATGATGAATGTAACCACATGTATGCCTGGGAATATTTATTTTTAGATATTTCCTGCAAGGAACATGACACATGATAACGAATGGGGCTTCCATAGTCTTCTTCCTATCCATCTGATTCTCACAACAGCCCTGTAAGGTTGGCCAACCCGAGAATCTTTAGCCCAGAGTCACCCAGTGGCCAAGGCAGGGCTGGAACTCAGATCTTCAGGGTCTCAGGACAACACTTTAAGAACAACCTCACGTCGGCTTATAAAATAATCCTCTCTCTCTTAGTCTCACAACAAACCTGTGAGGCAGATTAATATGAGACTGGCCCAAAGTCACCCACTAAGTTTCATGGCCAGAGGAGGACCAGAACGTGGATCTCGCAAGTCCCACCCCTACACGCTAACCACTAGGCTACACCTGCTCTGTGGGTTAGAACTTGTGTAGTAAGAAATGCACAGCTTTCCTGTATGGTGGAAAGAGTCAGGACTAGGCAATCTGGTGCCTTTAAGACTCTGGGGAATATAACTCCCATCATCCCCAGTCACTGCCCATGATGGCTAGGACTAATGGAAGTTGCTGTTCTTACTGTGGGGAGAGTTAGGTACAGTACAGAAATCCAATAATTCAGTACCTCTGTATGAATAACTAAACATGGAGCACCGTTGGAAGCATTTCCTGGAACAATAATCAGGCATCGTTTAAAATGATTAAGGGTTGATTCCCCGGTTTGAAAAAGAAATTAGGGCTTTTAGCTTATGTGGGCAGGAGGCAGAGAAGAAAGGGTGTGCGTGGAAATAACAACAGGGACTTCCATACATTTCTGAACACATGCAAAGAAATTAACTTCCTGTGTTATATCATGGGAGTCTGACTGGCAGCAAATGGAGACACAAAGGCTGGTTACAGAATTAATATGCAGTTCTCCGAAGGGGGAAAAAAAGCAGATCCTCAGAGATCAGCTGCAGAAACCGAGTGGAACCTCTCTGTTCAACAGTAGTGTATCCCTAAATACCATGTGCCAAAACCAGGACAGGCTGTTACTTCCGCATTGTTCCATGTTAGTATGTCAGGAAACTGGAGCGACCGCACAAGGATTCCTCTCTCCGCAGGAACCCTTTACGTTTTTACTGGGAAGATGGGCTTGCCTCAAAAGAAGAAAGTTCCCCACAGCCACCCTAGAAATTGCTGTCTCTCCTCGCCCGTCCACCCCTTTGCCCCCGTCCTGGCTGGGTCCGGATCAAACGCAAGGCCCGTGTTCTGCCCGGAGATGCCCTCCAGCCAGAGCTGTCTAGGAAACCGGAGATTCTCCATCCCAGATTGGCAAGAGGAGCCAATTTTCCCCACCACTGGCCACGGAGAGCCCCCGCCTGCCCGTTGAGGCAGCTTGGCTGGCTGCCCAGTCCCTGCCGCGTCCCCATCCAAGGGCATCAGTCCTTGCAGGCGGGGGGGGGGGGGAGTGCAGCTCTGCTGTCCCGTGACACCCCCTTTCTGAGTCTCGGCACAACCCAGCATCCCTTTTCGTTTGCAGCAGGCGCGAGGCACCCCAAATCAAGGGGAGAAGGCAGGCCCACCTGCACAAAAGGAGAGCTATTTTTCCGGCCATCGCTGACCAAGGCTTCCTTCATTTGTCTGCCCCCGCCCGGCTCAGGGTTCCCTACCCAGAGATCTGCTCCAACCTCGGCCATGGGGGGGGAGGGGGAGAGGCATCCCCTCCCAAGAGATCAACACTCACCTTGCTCACCAGGCGCCGGGATGCCATCGGTCTCTCTTTATCCCGGCTTAGCAGAAGGCATCACACAAAGCACCAGGGAGAGAGAGGGAGGTGGGAGGGAGGGAGAGGAGAGGAGCGGAGGGAGGGGAGGGGAGGGGAAGCCAACAGGGAGAAAGCCACCGCTGGACCAGGGCCTGGCAGGCAGCCCTGGAGGAGGAGGTTGCCATGGCGACGGGGGATGTGCTTGGATGCTTGCAGCATCCTTGCTTAGTCCCGGAGGAAGGAGGAGAGTCCAGGGAGATCAGAAGGAAAAACTGGCGGGGGGGGGGGGCGTGTTGGCTTCCCCTCCCCACCCCAGATGCCACCCGACGCGGGGGGAGCACGGGGGTGTTTTTGGGGGGGGGGAGCAGCTTGTAAAGGAGAGCAGCTACCACGTTGAGGGGGGAGCGATGCTTGGACCGGCTCCTTCCAGCAGGAGCAGCGGCAACATGGATACCGAATCATGCCGACGCAGTCTCAGACAATAGACGCCCCTGTCAGCTCGCGGATGCCCCCCCCCCGCACTTCAAAGGATCCCTCCCTCCCTCACACGCTACAGGGTCTATTCGTCCCCCCTTCCCCTCTTTGCTTTTTTCATGCCACCTCGCATTGCTCCTCGCGCCTCCGCCCCCCCCCC